CACAGTTTGAGAGCCGCTGATGTATAAAATTAAGTAGAAGGGAAAAAATTAATAACCAGTTTCTCTATCACAGAACAATGATTGCTATTATCTCAAATCTCAATATTATTCGTTACCACAGCTGCTGCTCTATCTAAAGCCGTGTTCGTTACGAAATTATTATCATAATAACTGTGTTATTGTATTTTGTTAGGTACTCTTCATTTACCACTTAAGACTTAAGTCATTTGTCAATATTGTCGGGTTGTCGCGCAATATAGCCTAATATCGCGTTTATGGTATTTGGCTTGTTTGGTGTTTTAATTTAGCTTAACTTCGTCAATTTCTATACCGTACTTAAGTGGAAACAATTGATAAAAAATCTCACAGTGTGACTTACAATCCTATAATACTTTTGAGTGGCAATTCTCGTTTCGTTTGTTTATTTAAATCAAAGCTGCTTGTGCACGTCGGACGCATACCTGCATATTACCGTACCCTATATTTGTTTTMGAAATCGGTGTCTTAGGCACTTAGCTTGAAATAAAAATTATTATTGTAAATTATAATGTCTCCGTGTACTGAAGAAGCGAACCAAAAGACCATTGGCATAATTGGCTGTGGGGCATCCGGTTTGGCAGCTTTGAAAAATTTTGCAGCTGACGATTCGGTGTTTAAATGCGTTGCATTTGAACAGACAGGCAGTATTGGAGGTACATGGGTGTATACAGACGATGTTGACCGAGACCAGTACGGCTTACCAGTTCACTCCAGCATGTACAAAAGCCTAAGGTATATATGTGAATGATTTTCAAATATTACTTGTTAGGTGACAATATTGTTAGTTGTCCAACTCATCATATAATGTAGCTATATTTCRACAAGTTTCTTATATTATCAGGTCAAACTTGCCAAAAGAAATTATGGAGCTAAGTGGATTTCCACATACAGGTGTTGGGGATGCTTGCTACTTTCCAGCTGCATACATACAGAAATATTTGAACGATTTTACTGATCATTTTAATTTAAGACCACATATTAAAGCAAGTCAAATAATACTGTTTGAATTAAATATTTTTTTAATTATTCCACATTAATATTATTAAATATATTTTATGTATAGTTTCATCATCATGTAGAAAAAGTAAGACCTATCAATAATAATCAATGGGAATTAAATGTTCTCAATCTGCAACAACAAAGTAAAGAAACTTTCATCTTTGATGCATTGTTGATATGTGTTGGGTGAGTGATATTAGACATGTTTTTTTAAGATAAATATTAATTTGTACCTAATTCTGTTCAAATTTAAGAATTAACTATAACACATCATTAATATGATCTTAATTTTTTAAATAATTGTATTTTATGTAAGAATAATAATATATATTGTAAACTATGTAGGTATCTACTTCTTCATACCATTATTAATTTAATATTATTGGCTATAATTTAATTTTTTGACTAAAAAGTACAAATTATATAATATAGTATGTTTCGTATTGGATGTCTATTATACTTTTTTTCATACCAAATCAAAATTAATTTTATTCAAAGATAAATAAATAAGTTTTTGCAAAAAATCTCATTAGAATTTGTTAAATACATTATATTATATGTATATTTTATACTATGATGAAAATTTACCTACTTAAAATTGTTCATATTCTAGTAATTATAGCAATCCTGCTATTCCAGATGTTAAGGGTTCCAACATATTCAATGGAAAAATCATGCATAGCCATAGCTACAGAGATGCAGATTCATTTAAAGGAAACTCAGTGTTAGTTATAGGCTGTGGTGCATCTGGCCTAGATATATCATTTGGTGCATCAAAAGTTGCAGACAAGGTAACTTTTAAAATCATATTTAAGCTCACATTTTATTTATTAATAATTTTAAMATAACTTTTAGGTTTTCTTGAGTCATCATAATCCTCGACTATTGAATTTGAAAATTCCATCTAATTATTTCCATAAAACCGATGTTAAAGAAATTGTTAAAGAYGGTGTTATTTTTCAAGATGGTTCTTATGAAAAAATTGACACTATAGTGTATTGTACAGGTAGTTAAATCTTTAAAACTATTAATTTTATTCCATGTTATTTGTTGATTTTATTTTAGGATACACCTATAAATATCCATTTTTAAGTAGTGAATGTGGAATAAATGTTGAAAATAATGTAATTAAATATTTATTTAAACATATGATTAATATTGAATACCCAACAATGGGATTTATTGGTGTACCTAGGAATACTACAGGATTTTACTTATTTGATTTTCAGGTAATTCAAAATAGTTTTTATATTATATGGATAATTTAAAAAATACAATCTTTTTRTGTTATCATCCTTTAATATTTGATAATATTGACTTTCAGTCAAGAATTTTCAAAAAGATTATAGAAGGTGGTGTGAAATTGCCTAATAAAGAAGAAATGCTTCAAGATACCCTCAAAGAAATTGAGAATCGATTGGCTAGTGGTCAGAGATTAAAGGATCTTCATGCGCTGGGTAAAACTAAGTGGGCCATGGAGTATTACACTTCAGTTTCAAAATTTGCTGGTGTAGAACACCCTCCACCTGTGTTATTACAAATATATTTTGATGGTATTGGAAGGCTTTCAGAAGATTTTCTGAATTTCAGAGGTGATAAATATGAAATTATTGATAGAGAACATTATAAGGTACAATATTTTGACCAAAATGAATCAATTATTAAAAAACAAATTTTGTATTCTTTTTAAAACAATTAAAATTTAAAAGYCTATTTTGTTGAATATTTTTTAGAGTTTAAATTTGTTACATTATTTTTTATAWATGTTATTATATGGTAGATTATTAAAATATATTCTATATATTTTRTGTTATTTGTAAATATTGTATAACCTGGTTAAATGTTTGAAGAAAACTGTGATTATCTATTATTTTATGTTATTTTATAGTRCATATATAATCTATCAAGTACTAACTAATACATATCAATAATAAGTTATAACCATTTATAAGTCAGTTTTAATAATTCATTGATAAAACATTATTAATTATTTTATAAAATATGTATCCACATTAACAAAGAATATATATTTTTACTATCTTACATTATTGTTATCACAATGTTCTTGCAATGTTCATAAAATTTTAAAATGTATACGTATCTTTAGCATTACCAGGTAGTACATGAATATGAATTAATATAAATACCTAAATAAGTAAAAACACCTTACTATTTAGTTTATACACTAATGAATATTTTAATACTTATAGATTAATCTAAACCCAAATTTGACTGACTTAAAAAAAACATTTCATTGGTAAACTAAAGCCTATATTAATTGCTTTCTTAAATAGTTAAATTCTAAAAGAAATGATTGTAGATTTCACAAAATRTAGTATTTAAAAATATTAAGTAATTTTTTTTTTACAAATATAAACAATTTATTTTTATTCAACTATTCATCATCTAGATAATTAAATAAATTTTGTTATAAACATTAAAAGTTCTAATTTTAACAAAACCTTAATTAATTTGTAGTTAAAAATGTATAAAATATTAAATTTTTATTGTTAAAGGGTTGGCAGTTTAATACAAAGTCCTCGGGTCTTTCACTCAAGTAGTTCATACTTTTATCAACAAATTACATATAGTTTTAGGAAAATTATAATGAATTTGCAAAAATTAATTCAACTTACCCAAGTATAATGTCAATATGGTACTTTTTGGTTTAACTAATTTGATAAGACATATATGAGTGTATGCCCTTGATTTGATAATTGACGACAGTTGAAAGTTTGAAATTTGATAAATATTTTTTAAAACAAGCAATATAATAAAAATGTCAATGGCAAGGAGGGCTTTGGCCTGTTTGCCCCTCCCCTTCCTCCTTTTATATTCAACTGGGTATATATTAAATATTATATGTTCTGKTTTTTTTAAGGTGATGTGATGAGGGTCCAGATTTATTTTTATTATGTTTAGGTACCTAAGTAGGTATTTATAGTTTCATGGGCGATGAATTTGATTTCTACCTTTTTCAAAGTCTGGGAATAAGAACAATATCTACAGACTACAAGTCTATAACTATAGTAAAATATCATAATAAGTTAATAATGAATAAGTTAATTGTTGTTAAAGTTGTTTAAAAATAATAAACACATTAAACATTGATACAATTGTTTAAAAACCTCATTAATAAATTGATGCACAAATTTTAACATGATTGAAATATCCATCAATATATCCACAATGCGTCAATAATTTTTTAATTTAAATAAAATGTTTAAAAATAAAAAATTTAGATCATAATATACTCTAATAAAGTGATAGCTCTATGTATCATCTAAGCCCTAAGGTATAAAATATATAAAATGTTCAATTGAACATTTAAAATAAAGTTGGTATCAACAGAGTTAATAATTTTATATATCATTTTACACTAACAATAAATTTGAATTTAAATTGAAAATTTGAATTCTCTTCATTTTTTATTGTTTCACGATTGTTGGTGGGATTTTTACTTTAATAAATTAGCAATAATGAATTTATGAGTTTGAATTTTATTTTATTCTTATCACTCCAAATCCACCCATAGATAATATATAAAACAATTWGTACATAAAAGTTTTTATTTTATATTAATTTTTGTAAATTGTATATTTGTGTAACTTATGTTGAAGTCTATGGCAGATCTGGTTACTGAAAAAATACTTAAACATATACGAAACATAAATAACAACATTAACAATCAACATATCCAAATTCACCTTCAAATTGTCTGCTGCAKCATCTGAAATATAACAATTTGACTGCAAATCAGAAATTATTGATTGCAAGAATTGGACTTTAGGTTGTAAASGACAWTTTTTTTCCATCAAATTTTTAGTTTTTGARCGAAGGCCTGAAATAGTTGATTRGACAAGAGAAAAATTGCGACGTGCTCTATTAGGACTACTAAAATCATTAATGCTAAGGTCCCCAAAACGTGTAAGATTACTGGATTTTGAATTTTTTTTGGCAATAGGTGAAGTAGAATCAAATCATTTTCTGAAAACAAAAAATTTATTTTGGTTATTCATATAATAAGTAGGTAATAATTATGAATATAAATTAACCTCTTAGCATTCACTGGTGAATCATCCATAAATGTAACATTATTATGTTCTAATGTTTGGGACAATGGTGAATTTAAGGTTGTAGCAGTAGCACTAAAATTAAAAATATATTAAATAAATTAAAAAAGAAAAAAGAAAGCTTACTTTTTAGAAGCAAGAGGAACAGCCAGGGCCGGATTGGTATATATCAGCCCATTGAGATTTTCACTTCTAAGCAGCCCATTTACATATTCACTGGCCCAAAATTTGGGTCTCTATTATTTTTTATTGGTTTATTACGTCTAAAATCGTTACRAACTTATTTACTTATCCTAACATGTATTTATTTTCACCCACACTCTGACACTACCGGCCCTAACTTTAAGCGGCSCACCGAGATTTTCTCGGTAGCTCGCCTAACCAATCCGGCCCTGGGAACAGCATCTCTTAAAAGGATCATCCGGCCTCCACTACTGATAAAATGTTCCTCATCAAAATGCTTAGAACATACACGATGCCAATTACTGACCTCAGTAAGCCCAAAAGCCTGCATTCAGGCACCTCGCCTATCATCTTTAGGAAATCTATAATATTGTAATAATTAAATTGATCAGAGAAAAACAAATTATGACAAATAATATTTTATATATAATTCTAATACTTACAAGTGGAAAGACAATTCTTCATTTGTATTGGATTTTGATCTGCACATAGTGCACACCACGCCTATGCATATGTGCACCATTATAATAAATTGAAAGTATATTATGTTAAATAAAATGTCTAATAGAATAATATGAAAAATATTATGGAGGTTCCTTCGTTCCTTGACAAAGGTTAAATAATTAAATTTGAATATTCAAATTAAAAAAGGCACGAAATTTGAATGATTGATAAACAAAAAGTGATAAGTGATAACCGTTGAACCACATTGGACCATCATACCACAGAATAGATAATCATACTACCACCCTGGTTTCTTGGGTGCTCTCTCGGGCCTCGGCACGCGAATATTTGTTGAATGGCCTATCCTCTATTATATTATCTATGAATCCACCGCATTACCAGTCCAGTATCACTGTGGTATCACCATTCACCACAAAATAACTTACTGGGTTCTGTGTATTATTCTGTGGTATCACTAAAAATAATATGATGATTATGAACCATGCTGTTGCTGAGTACTGACTTGCTAGTTGCTGTTAACAAATTACAATTTACTAATTTAGAAGTTGCAAGTTACAACTGTCTTGTTGTCTTGTACTCTAGTACAGTTGTACCGTGTTGCTATCTACTGTGAGAACATAACATTGCTTATTGTTAATGTATTTATGWCGAACGTGTTGATTTCCTCTTAAAATACATAATGGTACGGCACAATAACCAGTTGCCGAATAATTTACCACAACTCCAAAATCTTATAAAAAGGGACCCAGCATCATATAAAGATGAAGTAAGTTTAAAAAAATTCTTTGACTACCATGTTTAATATTGAAAACATAAACATTTTTAGTTCTTACAACAACAACGTCATTATAAGTCACTTTTGGCTGTTTTTACGTTGCGCCCGACAGATTTCAATAAAAGTCTTGATGAACTGGTTATGTTTATGGCCCAGGTAGCACATTGCTATCCTGGTGAATTGGCCACCTTTGCACAAGAACTCACAGATATGTTACAGACACATGGACCTGTTCTAGATAAGGATATGCGAATGGTAATTATTAARAATGATACATTTTTAAAATTAAAATACACACTTATAATGTCAATGTATTTATATTCTTAGACATTTTGCCGAGCTTTAATATTGTTACGTAACAAGCGATTATTGACACCAACAGATTTGCTTTCTCTATTTTTTGGCTTACTCAGATCACAAGATAAAGAATTGAGAAAATTTTTAGAATCACATATAGTTTCTGACATTAAGAACTTAAATTCAAAACATAAAGATGCCAAATTAAATCGTGTATGTGTTATAAATAATACTTAAGCTATGAACAAATGTAGAATGTATTAATTGTTTTGTTTTTTAGAATCTTCAAAATTTCATGTACACTATGCTTAAAGATAATAATGCTAAGGCAGCTAAAATGTCTTTGGTGGGTATCAAATAAATTGTATAATTTAGTAGAGTTTAAATATTTATATAATATTGCAATAATATAATAAGGTTTTATATTTAAGGGTATAATGGTTGATTTATACAAAAAAAACATTTGGAGGGATACAAAGACAGTCAATGTAATATCAACTGGATGTTTTTCWAAAATTACTAAAGTCATGGTTGCTGCATTAAAATTTTTTGTTACTGTGGATGCAAATGATTCTTCAGATGAAAGTGATTCATCAAGTTCTGATGATGTAAAAATTTTTCAAATGATATATTCCTAAAAATACTGAAATTTTTTAAAATTATTATTGAAGGACACACCAAATACTAGAGAAGTGATAATGGCAAATAAAGTGAGCAAAACAACAAGAAAAAGAACAAAAAATTTAAAAAAAGTTAAAAGATTAGTYGAGGTGTGTATTTTTGTATCTGAAAATTAACTAAAAATTAAAATTTATTTGTATTTATAAAAATGTTGTTTGAAAAACTTCTCAATTATAATGTTTCAGAAAAATAAAAAGAAGAAAAAACAAAAACAATCTTCTAATTTTGCAGCTTTGACATTAATACATGATCCCCAAGGATTTGCAGAAAAGTTATTTCACCAGTTAGAAAAGAGACATGAACGGTTTGAAGTGAAAATGTTGACATTAGATGTAGTGTCACGTTTAATTGGTTTACACCAATTAATAATTTTCAATTTTTATCCTTATATTCAAAGATTTTTACAACCTCACCAAAAAGGTGATTATATATATGTATATATATGTGTGTTTTGTCTTTCTCATACAGTCATAAACATTTAGTTGTATAGTTATCTAAGAGTGAATCTTTTATCTATTTTGCCATTTTTACTGTCTTMATTAATGCYATTATATATATTGTTATGTTAATAGTTTATTAGTTTTCATTAATACATATATGAAGTACACATAAATGTTGGTTACTGAAAGTCATTATATCATATTAACTATTAATACTAGTAATACTACAATTACAATAATTTAATTAAAATTGTTTAGAGGTAGTACGAATGATGCAATTTGTTGCTCAGGCATCACATGAAATAGTTCCACCTGATGTTTTAGAACCTGTATTACGCGCATTAGTGAATAATTTTGTCACAGAAAGAAATTCATCTGATGTTATGGCTATTGGGTAAAGATTGCAGCTTATTAAATTAATTTTTAAAATAGCACATTACTATATGTATGATTTTTTAGGTTAAATGCAATTCGTGAAATGTGTACTAGAGCACCGTTAGTTATGACTGAAGATTTATTAAGAGATCTTGCTCAATACAAGAATTATCGTGAGCGTAGTGTTATGATGGCAGCCAAGTCATTAATACATGTTTATAGATCTTCTATGCCACATTTATTGCATAAAAAAGATAGGGTAATTATTTTTTTTTTTTATATAAATTATGTACATTTATATCATTGAAGTATGGTTATGTTATTATGTTATTCAGGGGAGACCTACTGAAGCATCGTTGGAAATTGTGGCAAGAAAGTATGGTGAAGTAGATGCAAAAGAGTTTGTACCTGGTGCTGAAATACTTCTTGAAACAGAAAATAATGAGTCTTGTGATTCTGATGAGTCAGGCGATGATGAATGGGTAAATGTTAGTCATTCAGAGAATGAAATTAGTGATGATGAGAATATAGATGATGAAGATGAAGATRTTAATGATAGTGATGATGATAACGATGACATAGAAAGTACTTCTGATACTGAGGGTATAAATGACACAAATCAAAGTATTTCTACACAAAATTCAACAACAAACATAATTACTGAAAAAAAAAAAGTAGTATCTAAAAAAGAGCAATTGGCTGAAAAGAAAGAAAAAGCAGCACAAGTCAGTTCGATGAGAATTTTATCTGATGAAGATTTTAAACGTATAGAAATTGCTCAATTAAGCAAACAGATGACATCTGCTAAAAATCGCAAAAGGCCAGCTGAACCTGAAGAATCATCTAGGTAACATTTAATTAACATTTTTAGAATATATTATAAAGTATAGTAAATTTGTATTTTTGTTTGTTTTTTTTTTTCTTAGAGGTGAATTAGTTAGGCTGAAAGATATTGAAAATATTTATAAAAAAAGAAAACACGATAAACAAACAAGAATAGACTCCATAAAGGTACAAATAAGTTCACATTTWAATGAATATATGTATAGCATTAAATTTATTTTAGAAAGGGCAAGAGGGAAGAGAAAAGTTTGGATACAAGGATGGACGTTTAAATCCATTTTCTAGTAAGACTAACAGAGAAAAAAAGAAGACTAAGAATTTCATGATGATTAAACACAAGGCAAAAGGAAAAGTGAAGAAGTCTTTTAAGGATAAGCAGGTAACGTGTACATTTAAAAAAGATTAACTTCATTATTTTCAACATTAATGGTTATTATTGYTTAATATTGTTGTTCCATGATTATTTTGATTTTTGATTACTAGTTGRAATTTTTTGTTAAAWATAAATAATGTCCACTAGATATTATTTTAGGGTATTGACTCAAATACAATATTCACATWAATGTGTATTACAAATGGTTAAGAATTTGATWATATGTTAGTCATTGTAATGATGAAATTAATGTATTTATTATCATATTTAAAWATAGTTTGACAGTAAGAATATCAAATTTTTATARGTTTTTAAACATTAAAAACAATTTATTTTRYATACAATTTAAAAAAAGTGATTTGATTTTTATTTGTTACTATTTATTTTCACATATATATAATTTTTTTTACGTTTACTTTATAATTAGTAGTAATGATTCATAAATAGKATTTTGTTTTTGTTTTTTTTTAGATTGCATTGCGAAATCATTTGACCAAGTTGAAGAAGATGAAATAATAGTATAGATCATTTCTGAAATGACTAAAATTCATGTATTTAAAATGAATAAAGTACAAGATATCCAATTGAAATATAAATGTTAATCTATTTGAAGTGTTTAACCTATAATTTATAATGTAAATATCCTAT